CATGGGATCCTGGCACAGAAAGACAGTGTGCTGTTCTCCGTTCAACACCATGTTTTTTTATGATCAAGATTGACTTTTAAACATTCGTGTTGGATCAGGAAGAAACCCAGATCAGGTGGAAGAGGAAAGAAGAGGAATCAGTAATGGCTATTGCTCAGGTACCGTAATACTCTCAGTGGATTTTTCTGTGTCTTTCTCCTTTCTCAGAACTGGACATTGAACTTGGTGATCTTCTCTGACTCTGAACACTCTGAGTGCCATGTTTGCTCCCACTCCCCCATGTGTATGTATGTGAGACATACTGTCACTCTTTTGCCCTGGGTAGAGTGGCATGATATCATAGCTCACACCAACCTCAAACCCCTGGGCTTAAGTTCTCTTGCATCATCTTCCTGAGTCACTGGAACTACACAGGTTTGCAACCATTCCCAGCTACTTATTCTATCTTTATTAGAGATGAGTCTCCCTCTTGCTCAGGCTGGTCTCAAACCCATGAGCTCAAGGTATCCCCCTGCCTTGGCGTCCCAGAGGGCTAGGATTACAAACATGATGTACCACACCAGGTGCTGATAAAGTTTTTTTTGTTTCATTTTTCATAGCCTCCACTGTCACCCTGAAAGTGCTGGTCCTGGTACTGGTTCAACTCCATATGGGAGTTTAGGCCCTCCACCCTCAGGAGGCCACTCAACACAGTACAGGGTGGTTGAAAGCCACTGGGTAACCCCCTCCTCTATCATGTTGAATTGACATCAATAACACTGCTAACATATAAGCAGCATGGGTGGGTGTGTGTGTGTGTGCACGTGCATATCATTACCTTTTCTGTAGTTGCATCGTCTCATTGTTGAACTTGTTTCAATTTTTCTAAATGAGGTACTTCTCTCTCAGTTTACCTCTGAGGCTGGTCTGCTTCTTAAGGGTTTGACCCAGTAGGTCCCATGCTAATACCCAGTCATCTGGGGTCAGGGTTTACTCTGCTCCTTTTAGTCCAATGACCCCAAGGAAGGTTTTTCCTACAGAGTCTGAGACACAGTTCTCTCCTCAGTAAGATGGCAAGAGATCTTTCTCTTATGGGCTGTTGTTAGTATAGCAGGTAGTCCAACTATTCACAATCATCATTCTCACGTGGGAACTATTCAGTAGCTTCTGACATGGCTCTTGCTGTCATCGTACTACTTTTTAGATTCTGATCTTTCTAAGAGCCACTGTAGACGTAGTGATCCTCAAGACAACAGTCATTTTTTTAGTTTGAGGGGACACTGAATTTTCTAGTTTGGTGTGTCAAACAGATCTAATACTTCTATAGAGAACAGATAGAAGCCTGTTAATGTCATACTTGTTTATCTTGTAATGTCCACAACAGCAAGATCCACACTAATTTCGAGAATGTCACAACTGCTCAAGGAAAAGTAGAGTACACCACATAGCAAGCTGAAAAGTATATTAATGTGGATCTTTCAGTCACATCAATTTTTTCATTGCTCTAATGGTTTTCTGTGAAGAGGGGATTTCTTTCCATCCCTCTTTGGTGAAACATGTTTCTCATTTCAGGGACAATTGACATTCAGGGATGTGGCCATAGAGTTCTCTCAGGAGGAGTGGCAGTGCCTGGACTCTGCTCAGAGAGCTTTGTACAGGGCCGTGATGTTGGAGAACTACAGGAACCTGGTCTCCCTGGGTGAGCATATCCTGGCTGTAAATTGTAGACTTTTTAGAA